AGCAGGATCCCTCAAGGCTCTGTCCTTGGTCCTATACTATTCAACATCTTCATTAATGATGTGGACATCGGCATGAGAAGCAGACTGGCCAAGTTCACCAACAACACCAAATTTGGGGGTAAAGCGTCCACACTTGTGGACAGGAGGGCAATCCAGGCTGACCTTGATAGGTTCAGGAAATGGGTGGATGAGACCCTGATGGTGTTTAACACTGAAAAATGCAAGGTTTTCCACCTTGGGAAGAAAAACACGAAGCATGCTTATAGGCTTATAGGCTTGGCAGCACTACATTGGCTAGCACTATGGTTGAAAGGGACTTGGGGGTCATGATTGACCCCAAGGTGAACATGAGCCTTCAATGTTATGCTGCAGCTAGTAAAGTGAGCAAAACGCTGGTTTGCATGCTTCTCAAGCAAACCCCAGGACGTCATTCTCACATTGTACTCGGCCTTGGTGAGGCCACAGCTGGAGTACTGCATCCAGTTTTGGGCTCCACAATTCAAAAAGGATGTGAAGAAGCTTGAGAGAGGAGAGCCACACGCATGATCACAGGTTAGGAAAACAGACCATATAATGAGAAGCTGAGAGCTACGGGACTCTTCAGCCTGGAAAAGTGCAGGCTCAGGGGTGATCTGGTGGCCACCTATAAGTTTATCAGGGGTGCTCACCAGGATCTGGGGGACCATCTGTTTACCAGAGAGCCCCAAAGGATGACAAAATCAAAGTCACAAACTCCTCCATGACCATTTCAGGCTGGACATAAGGAAGAACTTCTTTACTGTCCGAGCCCCCAAGGTCTGGAATAGACTGCTACCGGAGGTGGTTCAAGCACCTACTTTGAACTCCTTCAAGAGACATTTGGACATTTATCTTGCTGGGATCCTATGACCCTTGCTGACTTCCTGCCCCTGGGGCAGAGGGCTGAACTCAAAGATCTTCCACGTTCCCTTCCAGCCCCAATGTCTATGAAATCTATTAAATCTATAAATGAACTTTGATAGTTAGCAGGTTTGTTATCCATATCTGAAATTTTACATAGTGTTAATATTGATTATTAACTGTTGTTATGTTTGGTGTGGGAAGAAAAATGTTGGGAACTGTACCATTAAAAGGCTTGGGAGTGAGTTTTTGGGACTGGTTGCAGAAGCTCATGTTAAACAATGCTGATTAATTAGAATTGAGCTAAGGCAGATCTCATTCTCAAAAATGCCTTCCTTTTTTATTCAATTATTCAATAGTTAGAAAGTTTACCCATAACATTGGCATT